TCTTCAAAAGTGTTCTTTCTTCCTCCAACGATTCCCACAGATTGCCACTCGCCTCCATCTTTCATTGGGCGTCGGTTCAGCGTGTCGCCTGCGAGGCTGGCGCTTGCGGCCTTTCCTTCTGAAGGGTTTGAAGGCTGGGTCTCACCGGGTGTGAGGGATTTCGAAAACATGCAAGAAGAGCCACGCATCTAGAATCTAGAACCTACAGTGTACTACAGAGTTGTGATGTGAAAGCATGTTTACCCACGTTCATGGTGAGCTGCCTTCAGCACGTTTCCTCATTCCCATGTTGAGCTGCTTTCGCCCTTCCGTCGCCTATACTCAAAAGGTGGGGTGCCTACAGGATTTGGAACGTGTGTCGGATCTCAAGCTGCTATGGCTGTTGCCTTGCCCGCTGCCACGCCTAAATGGCGCTCAGTGCGTTTTGGGCTCAGCGTATTGGTGTAAACAATCCACCGAACAAGTAAAAACGCAACGAACATCAAGTTCTAGTGACTGTTGAAACAATCATATGGTTGAGGACCCGGCAAAATTTCTTGGACCGAAGCGGAAGTCGAATCTTGTTAGTTTAAGCAATCTGTCGCCCCGAGTGGGTTTGTGCTGGATGTATTTTTACTGTCCTCTCTTTATATCAATTTTTTGTTTTAGACTGAGAAGGGTAGGCAGGGTTCTTGGCGCTCTTGGAAAGCGAGGAAAGCTTGGCGCAGGCAATTCGAGACCACCTGCCACTGAATGTGGCGTCGGTCTTGGAGTCTGACAACTACAAGGGTGGAGACTTGATTATGCTGGGTTCTGCCATTGCACGCCCGAGTGCACAGGAACTGGCAAACAACTATGTTTGGCTAAAGCCAATCATACAGGCCTCGCCAACCAAGGTGTGGTGCTGCCTAAAGTTTACAATTGTTTGTGTGTACCTGCACCAATTGTTTAACCAATTTTCAAAGCATTGTTCAACATTTCTGTTCGGTCGACTTTGCACATTCCTTTAGTCAAGGTCTAATCTGCAGTAACACTAAAGGGCTAATGCTCACTGCGAAGAAGCCTGAAGCCACGCTCCACGGAGCAACCTTCTCAAGTGTATGGGCGGGGGGGGTGTTCTTTCCTCAAGTTTTTTTGCTGAGGTTGCAAACTGTAGGTTTCATAAGGGGTTCTGTTGTGGCTTGAGGTGCCCAGCGCCTACTTTGTGACGGACGCCTTCTTGACGCTTGACAAAAAGCTCGGCTACAAGCTTTTCAGACCCGGACCCGGGGAGGACCGGGCCTACCTCGCTGGACGCGAGGGTGTTCGCGCAAAGAAGTGTGTGGGGGCACTCCGGTACCTCTGGAGGAACTCCACCAAAGCACATGATCAGAGGGTCCAGGACATGAAGTCATGCTTAAGCCCAAGCCCTGCTCGTGCTGCTGAGCCAGAAGACGCTCATCCAAAAGATGAAGTTTTGATATACAAATGTTGTGTGATTTTTCCTAATTGTCGGGCGATCGGCGATCACTTTGAATACGCAAAGCTCTTTTATATAAGGTCGATGCGGAAGAGGCTGGCGCTTTTTTGTCTGATGCCGCTGCAGATGACGCGCCTGTGGCTGATGGAGATGAATCAGCGGATTCCGATGAAGCTGCTGCCCCTATGGCTGATGCCCCGATGTCTGAAGCTGAACCAGGTTCAAGTGATTCTGATGTCGAAGTCGAAAAGCAGCAAAAGGTGATTGAAGCTGAGCAGGGCTCTACAAGTGGATCTGATTCTGGCGAGACGCCCAAGACTGTTGAGCAGTCTTCGTCGGAATCTGAAACCTTGAGGCTTCCTGGCAGGGTAGACGAGGAAATCTCAGATGTTTCATCTGAAAGTTCAGACCTTCACAGGGATTCTCAAGTGTCGTCTGGGTGGATGGGCAAAGGGATCAACTTTGCCTTTCACGAACATGAGAAGGAGAAGTCTCGTGAGAAGCATGTGGAGAGCATGCTGAAGGAGTTGAAGGCTGACATGGCTATCCACAGAGGGTTTGATGAGCTCAAGAACCGCGCTGTCGCCAGGCTGATGGCGGATGAGAATGTTTTTGAGTTTTACGTGGAGTATTGCCGCAGCTCCCTCCAGCGATTTGGTGATGTGGTCTATGGACAACTCGCTGATCGTGGGCACTACTTGGAGTGGATCTTGGAAAAGAAACGAATGTTGATGAACAAGAGGAAGGAGAGGTCTTTGTTTGGGGGAAAGGTGACGGTGTTTACTGAAGTTCATTTCGGGGATGTCAGCAGTTCTTGTATTCTTCATTCGTTCCAGGAGAAGGGTGGCTCTGAGTCTGAAGATGATCAGCTTGCCTGCCAAGGTGACAAGGCACCGAGGGGTATCTTTTTGTGTGAAGAGGTTTAGCAGTCTAGTCAAGATTGCCAGCCTGCCTGGTTTTAGTTTTGACCCCTTCAGGATCCAAAGCCCTTGAAGCGAGCTCTGAGTTTCATGGATCTAGATGGCTGTCCTCCAGATGCTTCTTGGGAGCGGGCGAAATGCTGCAAGAAACCCAAGCTGGCTGATGCCGCTGTTGCAGCTGTGAGTGGCGATATGCGAGTTGTTCCACCAACTGTAGTGCTTTGGCCGCGGGTGTGTGTGTGTGTGTCTGTGTGTGGGGGGGGTAGAAATGTTTTCCAGGTAGGTGTCCATGTAGGTGTCAAATGTTTTTCATGCCATGCGTGGTAGGTGTCCAGGTCTTTGTTCCATGCAAGTAGGGGTGTGGCTCGTGTTTCTGGTCAGGTGAAGCCGGCCAAGAAGAAGACTCCTTGTGATGGGCCCAGGCTCGACGTCTTCCAGGGGGAGCGCTTGGATGATATTCCACTTGAAGCGCGGCCGCTTCAAGGTGTTGAGTACAAGGGGAAAAAGGGCTACACGGTGCATGGTGCGAACGGAGCTGCAACTCAGATGGTGAAGTCTTACTTTTCCTTCTTCGTTTGTGGTGGTTGCATTTTGTAGTTCAACTGCCAGTTCGGTTTTTGAAATACATGTTGAAGAAGAATCTGAGGCGATTGAGGTCTTGATCTTCACAAAAGCGTACGTCGTGAAGAAAGTAGGTGGACGTTCCTCATCTGCCACTGCCAACCATAAAACTGGTCAAGTGACATGGACTAAATTTGGTGGTGCAGGGCCTGCATGGGCTGAAGCAAAAGCCCGCGCAAACTTTTGAAGCTTGTTTGTTTGGGGTGTGCCCAGTTCATCCTTCCCCTAGCTCTACTGTAATGAAAGATATGTTAAACATAGCAAGAATCACTTGGCTTAGCTTGCTTATTTGGGGAGGGCTGGGGTTGATGCGTTTGCCTTCTTACATCTTGGAAGGCAGCTATTTCGGGGGGGTTGCGCATCCAATGGATGCCCAAAGTGGGTGCCTCATAGGCTTGAGGAGGTTCCTATCTGCAAACTCGGAGGTTGCAGCCCTTTGCAAAAATATGCGTTTGCCAGCAGTGCAAATTTCAATCCCTCACATCACAGTGGCTGTGTTTCCTGCAATACTAGCAACGCAACCCCCTAAAGCTTGGCTCAAAGGCGTACATGTCATTCTGAAGTTGCGCATACAGAAACAAACAATTTGGGATCAAACCATACGTTATGTCTTTCTCTTGCTATCTCGTATCTAAAAGCGTCTTTGATTTTCCATTTTTCTGGCCACCATGGTGAAGAGAATCGTGGAGAAGGATGTGGCTCGACGAGTCAAGACCGTCAATGACAAGTTGCCCTTCAAGGAAGCTGGGGATACCAAGGTCCGCCGGCCCATCTCCATGCACGGGAAGCAGCGGGCCTGGATCATCAATGGACTACGCCATTTGAAAGCTCCGACTGCCGCCTGGCGCTGTTTTTTCCAAGACCACAACAAGCAAGCGCTGGGGTCAGCAGGCAGTCGACAATCTGTACCCCCAACAAGGATATAGCTGCGTTGGCAGTAGGACTCAAAGGGGCCTCATAGCTTACACACCTTTTTTGTGGGAGAGAGGCTATATGTATAGTGAACGTCTCAGGTCATTGCCACACTAGTGGCCCTGATCTTTGCGGTGCCTGGTCTTGACTTCGAACGGCCCATCGATCACTTGGAGACCTTTGCTGGATGTATGTCTGTGACAAAGGGAGAGTGGGAGGAGACAATTGTTGTGGAGCGTTGCCATTTTTCCAAGATTCAATGCCATATCTCATGTTGAGGCAAGCTTGTAAACATGTGGGTGATCAAGTGTCCCTCAATGGTCCAGGATGTTGCCAAAAAAAGGAATTCAAACAAGTCTCCATTGACGCATGTCTAGCTAGTGGATATGTTTCACCATTCTTCCAGGAGGGGAGAAAGGCAGTGCCGTTCGATGTCACCTACTCCTCTGACATGGATTTACTTTCAGCGCAAGGGTTTGCCAATGCCCTCTACCATGCCTGCAATGTCCTTCCTGGGTCTGGCTCCATGTCAGCGCCAGTTTGCAGCACCTTTGTCATAGTGCCGGGCGCATAGCTGTCAAGGGGATGGAGTGCAAACAGTCTTCCCCACTAAGATACAAGTAGAAAATATGGTGGAAAGGGGCGTTTCACTTTTGTAGTCCCTCAACCTCCCCTAATGGGTCAATCCTGCGTTCCCAGGTCGAGAGGGAGCACTCATCGGAGCCCAACAAATCCTTTGGGTCGCCAAGATTCAGAATCAGTGCGGCAAGGGACTATCCTTGCAAACAGGGCTTTGGTCATACTGTTCATCTTGGCTGCCAAAGGTTGTTGGACCATATTGGAGCAGCCAGCGTCGAGCTGTATGGAACACTTGCCGCTGTTCCAATATTTTTTGCGGCTGGTGCCCCAAGTCAAAATGTTCATGCGGATGGGTGACCACGGCGGTCCAACTCCCAAGCCAACATTGCTCTACTCCAGTTCTTTGGCAGCGCTTGGCCCTATAACAAAAGGTGGTGCCCCACCCGCCCAAATGAACCCACACATTTGAACCCCAGTGGAAATCCCACCATAGTCTCACATTCTCCCAGGGCACCCCACTGAGCCCGGGTTCAACCTAGGCCACGCGTGCATTGCTGGTCTCAACGATTTCCGGACTATGCCCCAGCATCGCAATCGTGAGATTACAGTTCGCTACACGAACCGGGCTGGTGAGAAGCGCTGGCATGGAGGGAAGGATATGAAGGGAAGTCAATCATACCCCAGACAGTCACTTGCATGCAAACGCAGCAGGATTGGGTTCACAATGTTACACGTTAGCAAAAACCATTCCATCAAACCTATTCACAACATGACCTGCCAATTTCCTTTTCGCACCATCCCCAAATCTGACCCACACAAGTTCTCCCCACATCAGCCAATGGCCACTTTGCCCCTATGACTTGATGGGGTCAGGTTTTGGGGGGTCACCTGAACTCTTCTGGTCAAAGAACATCGCACCATGTTTCACACCGCTTCAGGTTTGGTGTGTCGCTGGCAAGGCTCCGGACTTTGCATGAGAAGAGGAACAAGCGGAAAGCGGTTCGTTTCCTGAGGGCCGCTCGGCGTACCACCAATGATTTCGACACCAGGGTCAGAATCAACAAAGCTTGGACTGATGGCGCAGATCTTTCAAGCGTCATCTCATACTTATCCCAGAAGTAGGATTATTCCATATGTCTTTTAAGGTGGGAGTGGAGACCCTCTGTCATTGTTGCCCTGAAAATGCAAACAACTCTAATTGTCAGTAACTTTGGGGTTGATCCACAGGCCACTGGACTACTTAATTCGCACTCAATTGGCTATCGGCGAAGTTCTCACTGCGCTGCTGGAGCTTTGATCTGGGGTAGAAAAGGATTTGCGCTCCATCTTCAAGAGGGGCAGCTGTCAGACTGCTCTTTCACAAGCTTTTTGAGAATTCTGTACCGGGTCAGAGAAGCTCAGAACTCTGAACAACAAACCAACAGGTCTTCGCCTCCTCACCTTACTCACCTTTCTCCTGGTCTTCCCTTCATTTCCTCCCGGTCAACCGCGGCTGGGAGGCTTGGCAGCCGCGCCAGGGTGGTGATCTGCGCCAAGGGAGGCCTGCGCAGAGATATGTTGGCCTAGAATGTAGCCTTTTGAAGAATGCTGTTGTGGGGCCTGGTAACCGAGACCTCGGGGGCTGCTATCAGGAGAGGAATTTGTTCTTCTGGGCTGGATTCTTGTTGGGGTGGCCTACAATGAAAGTCAATGATACATGCGTTCCAGTGTGCATGAGCGTGCAGGTGTGGATGCCGCGCATTGTGCTTGGGGGTGCAGAATCTGTGGGCCTGCCTGGCCCCAATTGTCAGAGAAGTCGAGATGTCACCGTGTCATTTTTTAAGAAAAACATAGAAAAACACTTCAAGAAAAAGCTGCGATTTGCCGAGAAAAAGCTGCGTGGTGTACCTAAAAAGCTGCGTGGTGTAGAAACACTGCTCACAACACAGTTTCATCGCATGTGAACTTCAATGGTCCTCACCTTTTCTCACCTAGTCTTGGCATCAGTGTCCTGAGAAAATCGAGTATAGAAGCTCAAAGGGTGACCGTTTGGAGCTTTCATCCAACTTCAACCTGCCTGTTTCAGCATTTTGGTTGCAGTGCTGAACTATGCCTCCAAGCCAAGTGCGTTATCGCATCGTTGGCAAGTCGGGGTCCATGGGCACCACTAAGAAGGCTGATGGAAAGAATGGAAAGACAACAAAGAAGGAGAAGCCAGGTCGAAGCCCAAAAGATCAGAAGAACCAAAAAGCAAAAGCAAAGGATGCAGTGAGAAAGAATACGGGCAAGAAGGTGGAGGAGAAGAGCTCAAAGCAAGAGAAGAGCGCAAAGCAGGAAAAGCAGGAGAAGAAGGTGGGGAAGGATGCCACCAAGAAAGGAAAGAGCGGAAAGGATGATCCTGAGGAGGTGGAAGAAGTCCCAGCAAGGAAGAGTGCGCTAAGGAATCCACTTACTAAGAAGCATGTGGAGCCAGCGGCAAAGACAAGTGGAGCCAGCGCGCCTAAAGAGCACAAGGAGAAAAAAGAGAAGGGCAAGAAGGCGAAGAAGGAGAAGAAGGAGAAGAAGGAGAAGGATGGTGAGAAGAAGACAGGTGGGAAGGCTGAGAAGGTGGCCAAGCGGAAGGAAAAGAAGATGAGTGCGAAGGAGGCGAAGGAGAAAGCGGAGGAGGAGGAGAAGGAGATGAAGAAGAAGCGCAAGGCTGAGGAGATGGGGAAGGAGGACAAGAAGAAGATGAAGCGAGAAGGCTCAAGCCCTGCGACCCGTGATTCAGAATCCGCCACGCCTTCGACAAAGTCATCAAAAGCCAAGGCTGAAGCTCGGCTGCAAGAAATGGCAAGCCTTTTAGAAGGTCTGTCACATGAAGATGCGTCTGAAGATGGCCTTTCTGAGCTCCTTTGTGCGGGGGATGCAAGCGAAGACCCTGACGAGAGCGAAGATGATGATGCTGAGGGCGAGGAAGAGGAAGAAGTGACAGAGGATGCAGAGGAATGTGGAAGTGACGAGGAGGATGAGGGCGATGACGACGAGGGTGCAAGCGATGAGGCTTCAGTGGAAGGAGGAGGTGAAGTGGGGGAGGAGCCGGAGGAGAATGAGAGCGAAGCGTCTGAAGATGAAGATGAAGATGAAGAAGCAGATGAAAAAAAAGATGGAGGGGGAAAGCGCGCAGAACCTTGCCACGCCTTGGTCCCAGTGGTCACTGACACCTCTATGGCTGTGGTTGGCATGCGCAACAGTTCCACTAACAAGGCAGAGTGGGACAAGTTTGTGCGAGAAGCACAGTCTCGCCACAAGTTTCCTGCAGAACTGTCTGAGTTCTTCGCGACCAAGAAGACTGAGCTGTTCAACATTTGGTTGGACAGTTCAATGGACTGGCAGTCTTGCAAGCTACATGTTGAGCGCGAACATCACAAGCGCAACAAGACTGTCAAGGGCTGGCAAGCAGTGCAGGGAAAAACATTGAGACAGCAGCACCCTGTATTGTATGTGTTAAAAAAGTTTTTGGACTTCCAAGGAATGTGTTATAGGAATTTAAAAACCTCAAGGTGATCTTACTTAGCTCTGTGTGGTGCGCATGTGCTCCTGAGGTACGACGAGGACAAGTTCAAAACGCTCGTCGCCAAAAGAAAGGCCAGCGGCCTCTTTTATGAGGATGAGGATTTCCCAGGCGACGACGATGAATGTTGGTTTTTCATGAAGTGTGGTGAGAAGGTCACACAGTCTGATGAGACTGCTGAGAAATTGAAGCTTTCCGCCAAAACTGAAGTAGACCAAGATTTGAGGATGGCTTTGACCGACCCGGATAGTGGTATCCTCCGGCCTGGTGCACTGCCGAAGATCAGCGCTGGGCGGCAAGGATCCAAAGAGCTCCTGGATTCGATGGCCAAGGCTCGACCAGTCTCTTTCCCTTACCAGCACCTACCAACAGAGCCTAATTACCATAAGTCTTCAGAAGCCAACGCATTACATGGACCTTTGTACGCCAGACCTTCCATTCGTTTCACTCTAGATTTGGCAGGTGTCAGCTCCAAAGAAAGTGCAAAAGCCTAGCAGTGGAGAGGTGGAGGAAGCAAAGCCTAAGACACCACTTGAACGTGCCACAGCGATCATGTCAGATCTTTTGCCACTGGCAGCTACTGCCCGTACCCAGTCCATCAAGCTATCGACTGTGGAGTACGCTGGTGAGCTATCAGCCCAGCTTTTGGAACATGCCAAGCAATTGGAAGGCCTTTTCAAAAAGTTCAAGAAGGCTGTGGACAAGAAAGCTTCGCCGGCTGATCTCCAACCGCTCTTCAAGCAGTTTGACCAGATGAAACTCTTTGGGGAGAAGTCTAAGGCCTGGTCTGTCGCCAGCTGTGAGTGTCGACCCATTTGCCATCTATCCACAATCATTTATCCACAACCTTCCAATTCCCAAAAAAGTTGAGATGTAAAAACAAACCGTTTGAGGAACCTTCCCATGTCCATCTGCTCTCCTCCATGCAGGCAGCAGCTGCCGCCCTGCTTCGGCCTCCTGGCAAGAAGAATCCAAAAAGCAAGGGGAAGTCTGAAGCGAAGGGCCGTGCCAAGAAGTGACACTTTAGTCTTGAGTGTTTTTGGGTTTAAAGGTCAGAGAGAAAGATCTTTGACCGCGGGGCGTGCCCAGGGCTGTGGGGAGGTCTAGACCTGCGAAACAAACTGTTCTTGGAAGCAATGTGTGCAAAACCATGCTCATGCTTTTTCCGCAGACTATCTCCAGTGCAGTCCTACTGGCACATTTCGACTTCCAACCTGTGGAGAGATTCTTTTCGGAGCTTGAAAACATTTGCGACTCCTTGGTCATTGGTCGGTATCATTTCTTTACGTTCGATTCATTCGGTTTCTATTCAGTGTTGTTGCCACCGTTTGTGGAACGTCACTCGGGCCTCTCAAACCTGCTGTGCAACATTTTGCAACCATGTCCATGTCGTGGCCCGGTCCTGCTATGCCAGGTGCAGCCTTGACGTCCAGGAGCCAGCCAGGGAGACCTGTTGAGTTGGAGCGTCGTGACATCATGTTTGAGAGAAGCGTGGTACCAACTTGTAGCCACACCAAATCATCATCGCAACCCTGCAGGAAAAGAAAGCGATGTCCTTTTGAGTCTTACAACGAATCTGAAACAGTTGGAGTCTTGACGAATTTGATTTCCAGAGGGCAATTGAGTATTGCTTCGGCAGCTGAAATTGCAAGATCAGTGGTGAAAGACCACGACCTACCCGATGCCGCTGCAATTAGGTAGCATTCAACATGAAACCTTGTTCATTGTGTGTGCCCCCTCAAGTGTGGTGCACTGCTCACCCCTCAGGTCTGAGTCGCCCCACATGTGAAGGTTCCCACTTTCAACCGCCTGCGCATTGCGCCAAGGTGAAAGCTTTCAGTTCCCTGGGGTGTGATGGGGCACACCCTGCAAATTCAGAACGAGACCTTCACAGGTGGCTGCGGGGTCTTTACAACTTCAAGTTGGAGCCATATGTAATCAGCCTCAACTTACAGGCCACCTGGTTGGGCTTGAAAAGAGATTTTATTAACCTTGGCTTTCTTAAAGACAGTGAGTCTTGTTGGTCAACACTTCTATCCATTGCCAACTAGCAAGGTTGATGGGGTGGAAGCCCGACCGGTGCAAGCTGCTTGCATAGACTTGTTCAGAAACACTTTTGGTGCGGGGTCTTGTTTTGAGGGCTTATATCAATACTGTAAGTGGAACAGTTTTTGGTGAACGCAAGGTGCGGGTGCTTCTCCCTCACGAAGTCATCGACTGCTTGGCGAAAGCAGGCTGTCCTTCTGCTTTTGATTCGATGATGCTGGGACACCTTAACACAGCCTCTAGAGAAAAGTTTTGGTGTCACGTCCAACATCTCGACCCTTGGAAGAATCACCCTATCTTTGAGCGTATGGAAGGTGGTACCATGGGTGATGTAATACCAATAGCGGTGCACGGTGACGGCGCCGTGATGAAACGCGACGACGAGTGTTTTGTGTGGAGCTTCAGCAGCTTCTTCGGATCTCTTGGGCAGATCCGAGATGTCCTTCTGTTCAAGTTCCCCTTTGCCATTGTTCACGAACGTCACATGAGGTCTCCCAATGAAACATGGCAGCTGGGTGTTGTTTTTGATTTGGACCACCCAAGCATTCTAGTTTGTCCACCCAACATTGTTTGAGAATATGTTTGAAATGAGAAGACTGTGTGCAAAACAAAGGTACGCAGCGCTGTTGAAACGACAATCGCCAATGTCTTTGCCTGGAGCATGAAGTGCTCGTCCAGCGGGGTCGCTCCTGTGACCGGGTTTTACGATGAGGAGTTCAAGAAGACTTCATACCGGTATGGCATGAAAGGTCAAACGTTGGCCTTGGGGTGGAGGTGTCTTGGGTATAACTTCACAGCTTATAACTTATAACCTTTTGTTTTGCCTCTATGAGGAGCTGTATGGTGGTTTACTGTTTTGGTAGGCCAGTAACCTCCTGACTCAGGGCCTGCTATTTCACCATGAAGGCAGATCTGAAAGCCCGCCATCAAATGAACCTGTTCCAAAGATGGTACCGATGCTCACTGTGGCTTGTCTTTTGGGAGTCCACTTTTCTTGGTGTACCCAACTGGGTTTGAAAGCCAGTATATATGGATATCAAGTTCAACCCGTATGGATAAGAAAAAATATGTATGTAATCTATCAAGTTTGTATATCTATCATGTATGGATATTTGCGTTGTGCTTTGCACTGCTCACAGGCTGTGTGACAGCTGCCTCGCTTCTTCTGGCAAGCGGAGCTGCCGCTTCATGAACTATCGCAACTTTGGAACGTCTGCTGCTTGGCCGCTGACTGTGCTGAGCCACGAAGATTACTTGCGCTTGGAAGCAGTTCCGTCACCGTGGGTTTCAGTCGAAGGCTTTCGACTGGGATCTGTTTCGTGGGACTTGTTACATTTGATCTTTTTGGGCCACGGCAGAGATCTCGTAGCAAGTGCTATCCGGGTGATCATCCGCGAGGGTTGCTACGACTATGTGTGCTACGACTATGTGGGTTCCAATCAGCTAGATGCTATCTTGAGTGTTGTTCACAAAGAAATTCATGACACCTGCACAAAGAATGGGCCCCTTGGACCATGCCCGGACATTCTCTATTGCCAATTGTCCTTTTATTTTTTTGGAATGCGGAGTTAGCTGAAGTGAAAAGGAATAGCTATAGAAGTATCTGGTTCAACAACCATATATCAAGGTACTATGTGCCTTGCAAGCCAGTGCTCAGCGAAGCGAACATGGGAGGGTGCGAGTACGCTGAAATTGGGAGCCGCTACAAGGCTTCGCATGTGAAAGTCTTGCTGTGGTGGATTACCCGCAAGAGTCAGGAGGCACATGTGTGTGAAAAAAACATATTGAGACGTCGAACCTTTCCCCTTATAATTGGGACAGAGTTTTCACAAAACCGTGCCACATTTAAAACTTGTGAGCTGGTATCCGTCCAAATCGCTTTGTTTCAGGTAGCTGACGCTAGCCCTACAAATGCATTGCTTCAAGTCTTGGCAACTTGCTGCTGGGCCCTTCAACGTTTCCTGGAGGTCATTGACAACGCTGGCCTGGTCGTAGAGCCAGAGGAGGCTGCCGAAGGAAGCAGCACCTTGTGGGCGCATGTTCGTCTTTATGCATGGCTAGCTCTGTACTGCTCCGACCGCAAATTACTGCTTTTCAAAGTGCGCCCGAAGGCGCACTATCTATGTCATGTCGCCATGTCTTTGAGTCAAACACGACTCAATTTCAATGCCTTTCACACCTTTGACGAAGAAAGCTTTCTAGGCAAAATCAAGAGCATCTGTCAAAAGACGCATGGCTCCACTATGACACAAAGAATCTACCAGAGGTACTGCTTGTGTCTAGCTTTGTTTCTGCACCACCAACGGCAAATCGACAAATCCGTGTGAGAAAAACAAGGCCTTGGAGGGCTCCATGGATTGCCGCCGGAGCAAGCGGGTGGAAGTGCAAGTTGGAAAAAATCTTGAGGTCTACAGTTCCTTTACTTTGGTAGGTTTAAGGGTGAGAAGAGGGCACCATGGTTCTAAGGGATGAGCTTTAAGTACACGGGTGGTCATGGGGTATAGCTGTGAGCAGCGACCACGACCGGAGCGTAAAGAGGGCACCATGGTTCTAACAGATGAGCTTTAAGTACACGGGTGGTCATGCATTGCTCCTTCGGTGCATGTGGTATAGCTGTGAGCAGCGAACACGACCGAAGCGTAATCGACAGCTCGACTTCGATTTCCCTACCAAAAAAAATACATTGAACACAGCTTCAGTTTTTGTTTGTCGAGGCCTGTTTCCAAAGTCCTCGCCAAAGCAAAGGATCCACTGCCTTTGTTTAATGATCGATATCGGAGTTATCGGTTGTAACTTATTATACATATATATATATAGAGGCCCAAGTTTGCAAATCCTCACATTACTTGTGAGGATTTGCGGTGGTGTGTGTAGTTCTGTGTGCTACTATAAATACTGGTCCACTGGTCGCCGTAGGTGCAGTTCATGACTTGACCTGCAGCTTGGAAATTGAAAGTAATTGTTTTTTGCCCTGTACGATGCGCAAGACAGCGTCCTACGCTTTCGTGCGCTACTATAAATACTCGCCGTAGGTGCAGTTCGTGACTTGACCTGCAGCTTGGAAATTGAAAGTAATTTTTTTTTTGCCCTGTACGATGCGCAAGACAGCGTCAGCCGCTGTCGTGTGTATCTTCTTTGTCTGTGATCACATATAGCAGACCTGTGCTATATGCATATTCAAGCCTCGATGACACCGGTGCTATAAAGAACCATGGTTTTGACCAACGGTGTGGTGCAATGAAAACGAGAGCGTTTTACACAAACGACAGCGACGCTGTCGTTTGCATCAAAAGCTGTCCCTAGCAAAGCGTTGGATTCTCTAGGATATATAGATAGATATATCTCGACATATTTTGTTTGTTTTGCTTGGAACTGAAGAAGCTGCAACAAACACCCCAGCAAGTTCTTCTAAAACACAGCGAGGGCGAAACTTTGAACAGGGGATTGCAGACAGCGCCACTGATAAGCTAAGTAAGGCACGCAGTCTCTGTTTGCCAGTAGGTACTGCCCAAAATCTTCTTTTCTCAGGCTGCAGAGCGGTCTGGCAGAGTTGGGGTCAGCCAGCCTGTTTGGAGCCCGCAAGTGTTCGTGTCGCCAACATGTTTGCAATGAGCAACGGCTCGCTTATACGCAAACATGGGGAAAGGTTACCGAAGTGTGTTAAGGGTGCAATGTGTTGGACGTACCTGCGTGAATTGATATTGCAAGAATCTTCATTGAACCCACTAGTACAGCATAACCCCAGATACTCATCAACCAAGGCCAAAAAAACTGAAGCGGTCTCCGGATGAACAAAGTGGAGAGGTGCTGCGTGTGCATTCGAAGCCATCAGCATCACAGCTTTCATTACCGCAATTACCATGCCCGAACCGCCCTTCATGAACTTGTTGATAACCATGTCTTCTTGACCTCAGCGCGATGTAAATGGCACAGCAATCCAAACTTTTGGGGCGAAATGGAGTGAAGAAGATTTGTGTGGTGTGCGTCCCAGACTTGTTGGTGCCAGTCTTCTCAAGTTTTTGGAAGGGTTTGTCTTTGTATCAGGCATGCATGCACTGAATGTCAAGCTTTTGAAGGCTCACTGGCATCAATGCTCTATTGAAGCAATGTCCTATTCCTACTTGACACCCTGAAACCTTGCTACCTACAGACCTTGTCAATCATAAAAGCATCTGCTAAGAGCACTGTTTTGCAAGTCGCCCTCGCGGCGAAGCAAGTCCGTGAGTCAGCATCATGCCATCTCATGGCCAGACGTCACCTAGGCTGATCACACTTGCATTTCCATTGTTTCTCCGCGCTAATGCAAGCTAGTACGGGGTTCCAGCTGCAGCATTCTCCTCTCACCGGTTGCCCCCCGTAATCACACCTCCGTTCCACCCTGCAACAACCTTTCGTCTCAGTAGTCTCCGTGCCGACGTTTTTGGACGTGCGCTCCACTATGCTGCTTGCGCTTTTCTCGGTCTCCTGGCCGACGTTCTCGGACCGGGGACATGGGCAAACATCAGTCTCCTTGCCGAGGTTCTCAGGCTTGGGAGGCCATTCCTGTGCCATGACGTTGTTGTAGCTCACGCACAATGCAAGGATGAGGCAACCGAATACGCCGGATTTGGGCGCCATGGCAATGCCGACACCCCTGAGCTAAAAAGCGTCGCTGAGTGGCTTGAGGAAAAACTTGCAAAAACAGCCACGGAAGAACATAAAGATGCTGAAAAATGACGCAAAGATCCAAGCTCCAACAGAAGAGCTAGTATATCAAAGATGTTCAAATTGAAACAAATTCCAAGGTTAAGCTCTCCAATTGGCTTAAGAACATATAGCAAATTCACAATTTCAAACCTCCGACTGACATATTCCCAGCAGCTGAGCGTCCCCACAACAGGATGCAGAAGAGATTGATGACGAAGCCATGGCGGAGCAGAAGGACAAAGGAACAAAGAATAATCCCAGCCAATGAGCCAAACGTGCAAAACACAAATCCATGGGGAAAAACAAATGAAGGGCAAAACACAAAACCCCGAAACCAAAAAAGCACATAAAATCAACCATCTGATGGAAAAAAATCTTTATAAGGCTTTCTAAAAACACTAAATCTTTAAAAGTTCATGCCTCATCAACAATCTTGGGTAATCAGTCAGTTTGTAATATTTTTGGTTCAACTTTTCTGCAATATCTTGCACAACATAATAACCTTTCAGCCAGTGGGAAGTTCTTTCTTTCTCTGTAATTGCTTTCTTTCTCATTATCTTTACTCGGTCTCCTACTTCTAAAGAAGGGTATATTCTTTCTTTCTTTGCTTTTACTGAAACATTGAGTTTTGCTCTAAACTCATTCCTTTCTTTCCTTGCTTCATTTGGAGTTAGTCCAGTAGCACTATGGACGTCTTTGTTGTTGTATGTTAGTAAAATCTCGGTTATGTAATCTATCCATTGAATGTTATTTTTTCCTTTCTTCTCATCATTCTCAACCCTTTTAAAAATTTTATCTTTAAATGTCCTAATAAATCTTTCAGCGAAGGCTGGATGACCTCTAGTTCTATAAAGTTCAATCCCTTCATCTTCTACTAGTTGTTTGAAGTCAGCACCACTTATACTACCTTCATCATCAGTGTATATGATTTTTGGTTTTGCCCTCATCTTTTCTAGCCCTTCCATTGTTCCAGCGATGACATCGGCAGGGTTTTTGCTTTTAATAGGGACTACTACAGCATATTTACTTAATACATCAATCATTACCAACCCAGCTCTAAACTTTTGTGTTGCTTCTATATCATTTTTTGAAATGAAAAACAAACCAAGTTGAAAAGTATGGTTATTGTGGGGGACTACAAAACTGTTCTGACCCCTTTGCTTTCTCTTAATCTCAACATTCTTTCTAAAAAAATATTCAACATCTTTCATAGTAATACTTTGATCTTTCTCTCTGGCATCTTTTAAAGTTGTAGCCTTGCTCCCATAACCACTTCTATCAAAATAAATATTACTAATAATCTTCTGTTTATTATCAGCCATTATATTTATAATGATATTTTATTAGAAAAAGCACAATTACATTGAACACATGAGCCTATACAATTATCTTTGAAGTGGCTTTGTTCATTATTAACCCTTTGACAGGTTATATTTGATGAAATCCTGCCATCTTCAAAATCTATCACCAACGGTTCATTACAATTCTCACACTGTGTATTCATCAAACCCATCAAAAAATCTACATCAACATAATCATTTCCTTCTACATCTCTACCTGCTTTCTTGTCTTGCTCTTCATAGTTCATAATTTTATTTTTGAAATATGTTTCTACTCTTAACTTACTTAAATCATTTTCATCAGCATCATATTTATAAAACTTAACTCTATTTAAATCTCTGGATCTTGTAATGGCTGTCCAATACCAGTTCTTGCTACAATACTCTTTGCTCCAATCATATATCACAATATCATCATCAACACTACAGCCTTGCTTACTATGGCAGGTGTAGCAGTAAGCATATATAAAATGCTTTCTCAATACTTTCAGTTCTATATTTTGCTTCTCATTAGTTGCCACATTTTGTAAAACAACAATATTGCCAACAATATTTGAAATCCTGAATTAAAAATTCACATTAAATTTCGTCCCTTTATTCTTAACATACTTTCTACATATTACCTCCTCACCTATCACATATTCATCTTCTATGCCTTTCATTTTTCTCATTCTGCTACTCACCTCTCTGGTGGGCTACGAGGGCCTGGTACAGTGCCAGTTCCGCATCCCGCGGCTGCACGGGGCCCGGGAACAGCTTGGTGAGGGCTGCAAGACTTGCAGGAGTTGGAGCTGAGAGTTGCAAGGCCTGGGGGCAGTGAGGTCTGCATGGGCCTTGCTCTATTCCAATCGCAGCGCCATGATCCATGACAGTCCGGGTCCCCAATGTGCAGGTACAATAGGTGCTTCGGGGAGAAAAGGGGCTTTGTGTGAGCCACAGGTCCATATCCCTACATTGCTTCTCAACTGGAGGCGTGTGCTCGGAGTTGCGGAGTGTGAGAAAGGATCTAGAATCTAGAACATCCAGAGGAATCAGAAACCCAAAAAAAGCTCCTTCGTCAGATGCGTTGAGTTTCTCGCGCAGAGGCGGGGGTGACCTCGAGGGGAGGCAGCTGGAATTCAGTATTATAAATATAAACCCCCGCTCTGGCCAAGTTGCTACGCGCCCACACAAGACTTGTGTTGCATGTGGATGTTACGTCTAGATAGAATTAGTATAAATCGGGCATAAGCTAAGGGGGGGAGGGGAGGGGGAGCTGGAATCCCGCTCTGGCCACTTTGCTATGCGCCCACACAAGACTTGCGTTGCATGTGGATGTTGCGTCTAGATAGAATTAATATAAATCGGGCTAAGCGGTGGGGGCTTCAGGGGGCTTGGGGGGGGCATAAGGGGGGGTGACCTTTAGGGGGAGCTGGAAATAACCACACATTGCTATGCTCCCAGACAAGACTTGCGTTGCATGTGGATGTTACGTCTAGATGGAAGTTAGTATACATTTCCACCCCCGCTCCGGCCACGTTGCTATGCGCCCACACAAGACTTGCGTTGCATGTGGATGTTACGTCTAGATAGAATTTAGCATAAATCGGGCTTAAGCTAGGGGGAGGGCTTAAGGGGGGATTAAGGAGCTGGAATTTAGTAGCTTACGGGGGCTTGAAAGGGGGGCCTTAAAGGGGGGCCGAAAGGGGGTGCTTAATAGGGGGGCTTAAGGGGCGGGGCTTCAGGGGGGGCTTAAGGGGGGGCTTCGACGGGGGGCTTCAGGGGAGGTGGGGGCTTCAGGCACCTTTAGGTGGGGGGGGTGACCTCGAGGGGAGGCAGCTGGAATTCAGTATAAATCACCACCCCCACTCTGGCCACATTGCTATGCGCCCACGATGGAAGTTAGTATAAATTTAAAGCCCCGGAATTTAGTACCAAAAAAAATCACCACCCCCGCTCTGGCCACATTGCTATGTGCCCACACACAAGACTTTCGTTGCATGTGGATGTTGCGTCTAGATAGAATGGGGGGGTGGGGGTTGAGGGGGCTTAAAAGGGGGGAAGGGGGGGAGGACCGTTAAGGGGGGGAGGGGAGGGGCAGCTGGAATTTAGTATAAATCACCACCCCCGCTCTGGCCACGTTGCTATGCGCCCACACAAGACCCGCGTTGCATGTGGATGTTACGTCCAGATGGAAGTTAGTATAAATATAAACCCCCGCGTTTACTATAAATTTTGACCCCCGCTCTGGCCACGTTGCTATGCGGCCACACAAGACTTGCGTTGCATGTGGATGTTGCGTCTAGGTAGATTTTAGTATAAATCGGGCCAAGCGGTGGGGGCTTCAGGGGGCTTAAAGGGGGGCATAAGGGGGGTGACCTTCAAGGGGGGAGGGAAGGGGGAGCTAGAATTTAGTATAAATAACCACCCCCACTCTGGCCACATTGCTATGCTCCCAAACAAGACTTGCGTTGCATGTGGATGTTACGTCTAGATAGAACGGGGGGGGGGGGGGGGAGGGGGGTTAAAAGGGGGGGAAGGGGGGGGAGGACCGTTAAGGGGGGAGGGGTAGATGGAAGTTAGTATAAATTTACACCCCTGCTCTGGCCACGTTGCTATGCGCCCACACAAGACTTGCGTTGCAGGTGGATGCTACGTCTAGATAGTTTTTAGTATAAATCGGGCTTAAGCTAAGGGGGGTGACATCAAGGGCGGGGAGGGGAGGGGGAGCTGGAATTTACTATAAATCTTCACCCCCGCTCTGGCCACGTTGCTATGCGCCCACACAAGACTGGCGCGTTGCTAGACAGCGCTGCGGCGGAGAGGACCTTGAGAGTCGGTGATACCGACAGGATTTTTTCGGAGAACCAAAACAACAAGTGGGGGGGCAGGGCGCGCATACATGCGCACTCGCAGGGCACCGTGGCCGCCTTGATCGCGCACAGTCTTTCAAAAACAGCCCGGGCCACTTGAAGCTTGCGGAGTGGCAGGCGCAGTTCCCATCCCAACCTACAGCTATATATATATGTAACAACATGTTCCAATTGGTGAAATGGAAGCATTTGTAGGGGAAGCAAAGAGTTGTTCAGATGAGCACATCCAATGGGTCTTGGGAGCTTGATATTAACCATTCGGCCGCGTAAATCCAATGAATCCAACATCGAACGTGTCCTCTTTCTTATTACACAACTACTGGTTACTTTGTTGGATGACTGACAATGTTTCTTAGCTATAATGGTTTATCATTACTAATACAATGGTTTCTTAGTACTAGTGGTTACTTTGATTTGATCGCTAGATTGTATTTTCTCTTTGATGATCCTTGCATTTGATGCCACAAATAATTACCCTAGGGTAACCGAACGTTAATATGTGGAATTTCACAACCATTTGTAGGTCATTTTATCCTTGGGAAACCATGGGTTTCCCACATGGATTTTCCCCATTCATTTCCCGATCGAAAACAATGGATAGTTCAGTCCAACTGAGGGTAAAGCAATGCCATTTGCACCCACCCTTCCCCAGTCATCACCATGTTGATAGGTGGTTAATGGTTACCATTCCCAGTCATGGGTGGTTTATGTTCCATTGTTCTACCCACATGATTAGTATATTTGAGGGAATAACCATCCATCAACCAGCTAATCAGTGAATCTCAGTGAGAATAGTTCATATCACCATTGATAATATGGAGGTTTCCAGCACTGGAAGTACCCCAAAAAAAGATGGTTTCTAGTGGAAAATCCTAGGAAATTGGATGAGAACTAGGGCTACCCCCATTTTAGGAAACCCCCATATCCCCATTTATATCTTAATGTCTTAACCCTTGTCAATCGAGGCCGAAGCTTCCTGCCACACACCTGCGGCTTTGGCGGCGCTGCTGCTGCTGCCCATGGGCTTTTGGTATTGGAGGCGGCCACGATCCATGGGATCGGTTTTTCGAAGCCTCCAGTTACACCGGCACCCCAGAGAAATGTCTGGAAAAGTATGTTCGGGCTATGTTTTTAAAAGATATGTTGACATTTTGACCCTTGATTTGGGGGCAAAGACCATGGTTTCCTGCAATTTTTCCCATGCATCATCTTGCATCAATCGATGGACAATGGAATACAGTTGGACATGGAGAATGTACTTCTGGCTGTAAGTTAAAAATTAAGGCACAGGAATCCTAGGACCACAGATGTCTACACTTAATTGATCTTAATGGACTATGAACCATCCAGATTTGGGGGCTACTCAACTATGGCCCCTACCCCAAATATGAACAAAAAATCGGATGGGAAGCGTCAAAACTGCTGATGATTTGTGATGTTTAATGTGTGAGTGGGATTTCCCAGACATTTCAGCCATTTTGTTGGGAGGGTTTAACATCATTTGAAAAGGTCTTGTAATATCAATCAGTATCACGTTGATTACCCAATATTCCAATATTCAGCCATGTTAATGAAGAACAATTTGCAGTCACTTGAAATCTGAAAAGCCAGGGGGGACGGTTACAGCCATGGTTGTTGTTGTCATCAAGAGTTGACATCGTTCTCTGGAAGTGTGTGAATTACCAGTCGGAAAGTCATAATTAACAGATTTACCATGAATTAGCAACGAATCTGAATATCATATATAATATCATATATATAATATAATATCATGTGTATATATATATGTACGTATATCAGTCATGTTCTGTCTTCACTGATTTATTCTATGTGTATATAGTATATATAGTATATATATAGTATATGTATCTGTCTATTTAACTCTGTAATCCCATCAGTTCATGGATCTGTTTGACACGCTGAGAATGCAGGCAACAGCCTGCAGAGTTGCCAATGCCCAAGGCGTTGCAGGCGGAAAAGACCGTGCTGCCGTGCGACCTGATGGGAAGATCATGACAACAAAACATGGGGAATGGATGACGATATATATCCAATGTATTTCCCATTATCAACTTAAAATGGATGATAAAATATGGATGATCAATTCCAATGCATTTAAGTTGATCATTTTTTCTGCACCGATATGATTTGTTCTCCACAAAGCCATTGAGAATGGGCGTCAAACACGTTGGGTAAACAAAAAACACCCCGACAGCGTCCATGTTCCTGGTACGCAACGGCGATCTCGATGGCACCGTTGTGCGACCGTATAACGATCTCCACGGCGACGTGATACCTGGATTCGTTGCGTCACTTTTTAAGCCCAACCAACTAGAAACGACAAATCACGAGGTTCACACCCCAAACAAAAACCAAGAAACCAAGTCATTGTCTCAACAACTTGGCCTTTGAACTGCGGCTAGATCTCTCTGCGACGTCGGAGTCTGCCAAGTGAAATTCACTGCAGCGACTTTTGGCAGACACAAAGCTTCGAACATAGATGCGAAACAGAGCGCAAACTGACGAAATTGATACAATTATCAACCATATATCAACCACGAACATACCAGATAGCCTGACGCCGAGTCTGAGCGAAAGATCGAGGAATCCAAACTTTCCAAATCCAGGACATGGCTATACGGTGTGCAGCCGAAGATCAAGTGATCAACGATATATGAAGTGATGTTTGAGCGGTATAGGGACGCCAAAGAACGAGAAAGAAAATCTTTCGCAAAATAGAAACAACGACCTGCTATGAATGTCCTGGGCGTTTAGGGGTTGCATTCTTAGCTGGCTCAGCCCGCCGAAAAGCCAAGTACAGAACGTCAATTGGGTGTGTCTGAAAATGGGATATACCCCCAACCTACGGCCATCGAATGGGGATTATGGTCCATAAACCTTGACAGAGCAGTGGTACACAGGGGGTACACGATTTTCGCAGAAACGGCGCCGGCGTCACAGATTCCCGGCTCCACCCTTTCGGATGCCGACGGCAGTAGCGCCCTATCCGAAAGAAAGAAATGATGCGACAAACATGCGAGAACAGCATACATGGAACAACAAAAATGAACTTGAGAAAACTAAATGTTTCCCTTAGAAATAGTGACGAACCCAGAAAGATCGAAAAAATCGAAAAGAGTGGAGGCCAACAGAAATCAGACGCTGTGAATTCTGGACTCCACGATCTGAAACTGGCGAGATGAACCCATGGAAACTTCGAAGCAGCGATAGGTGGAAAGGAAGCTGGTGGCGCTTGAGCCATTGCCATGGTTCACATCTTCCTGTGTGATTCTCACTAGAAATTCAAGAGTTGCATCCCCATGTTTGGGGATCACATGGCTATTTTTTCCAAGTTTATACTGTATGCTGCTCATTGTTGATGGTTTTAGTATGCTCTAGTCGTTACATTGTCGTGGAAGCTATCAATACGTTTGACAGTTGATGATCGGATCCTCCTATTTTTCACGTTTGCTCGCGAGCTTTGATTGCCATATGTTTTCATTGTGAATATATGTTGGATGGTTGGATCATATCATATCCAAAATTCGCTGATCTGAAGTCCCAAGGTTCAGTCCCATTGTGATCAAAAAGAGTTTCCATATTTATGGGGGTACCCCATAGCTGGACGATTTATAAAGGAAAATCCCAATCCAAATGGGATGATGACTGGGGGTACCCTTAGGGGTACCCGTATGACTCAGGACACCTCCATGCATGTCATTGGCTGACGGTAATGGGAACTCCACAATCCGATTGCAATTGGGGCCTGTTCCTGTTCCGACTTCAGACACACCCAACTCCGCAAGTGAAATGCAAAAAGAAATCATGTACTATGATTGGTTGCTAAACATCTGCAGATCCTTTATAAACCTTATAGTCTCAGTCATATAGATCAGGAAGTATTGGATTGCATCCATACATACGACCTGATCATTGGCTTTTTCAATCCTATTCATTCTTATTTGAACATATGTTAACTTTACAGGCTTTGGACCGTATCCGTTATTTTGCACGCACTGACTGTATCATTTCCACTGGGTTTAATTTATACCTATCGTTCGTAAACTGGATAGACCCATGGCCATATATTACCTGTCGTTATGACTCCTTATCATAGATGTGTTTCTTCAATCCAGATGTATCAGCCCCAAAATATGAGTTTCAACAACAACCACATCATTGTCAGTTATCCCCATCCAGAACATGATCAGTATCATCTCAATTCATTATCCATACTTGGTATCATCCCCAAAAAGTTCTCAGTTCCAACAAACATCATCATATGTTCCACAATCTATAATCTCAATTATTTTCATATATGTTCCATAATTTGGATATCTCTATATATATATAACAAATAATATATATATAAATCAATATGTATATATACATACACATACGTACATACATACACATACATATATATATATATTATATTATATATATTATATATATACATATATATTTGTATATACACACACCATATATATCCCCATCCTTTTTCTTTAATCCCCATACCTTCGTTCAGGCCAGTGGAGCCCTAATCCATCCATGCCTGCGGAAACGCTTCACCTCGGCCGGCGCGGGCCTCGTGGTGCTCCGCGGTGTGCCGCAAGGGCAATGCCTCCTGCGGGCCCGGGGCACCCAGGGGCGCCGAGGGGCCGAGGGCACCTGAATCCTGTGGAGATATGGGGGTTCCATAAAATGGGATTTCCCAATCATTGATGGTTTACAAGGGAAAACCCTATTAAAATGGATGATGACTGGGGGTACCACTATTTTCGGAAACCACCATATGAATGATCAATGTAATGTCAAAGCCGGATGAATAGTTGCCAACCATAGTTTTTTTTGAACGTTTGGGGGGTACGGTACTTCCACAATAGTCATTTCATCTGATAGTTGAATGGTACCCCTCCAGTTAAACAGCCGTTAAGGGTTTATTTAGCCAGGTTTGATATTATAATCAATGGATAATCAATGGATAATCAATGGATAAGTGGAAATCAATGGACAATCAGTGGATAATTCATGGAATTTTTGGATAATCAATGGATAATGGGAATCACAGTGAATTCACCAGCATTAGGGATTCTACAGGGGAAATTATGAGGATATCATATGTTTGTATGGGGGGTTCAATAGATGGACCCCCAAATCATCCATTTTACTCAGATTTTCCATGAAATAAAGCATCAATTTGGGGGTAACGGGATAATCTAATGGATAATGGGAATCCAAAAAATATCTCAAGAATCCGATGATACTGAATGGATCATGGATTATGTATAATCAATGTACAAGCAATGGATAATCAATGGATAATCGAGGGGGTCGGTTTGACCATATATAAATGAATGATATATGATGATATGAATGATATTTGCTCCATACCAGTGAGATATCATTGGTTTATATCCCCACTTTTGCTGATGACATTCCAATTCATGGGTAAATGGAGGTTACCTAAAATGGGGGTACCCCCAGATCATCCATTTTACTCGGATTTTCCATGAAATAAACCATGAATTTGGGGGTAATCCCCATTTTAGGAAACCACTGTATTTGGAATAATCATCACAACTGACATTCATATTTTTCACAGGGGTTGAAACCACCAACCGGTATATGAGAATCCCATATCATATTTCTATGATGATAATCCATGACAATCCCTTCAAAAAAACAGAAAATTGGCGATTTCAAAATCGATATGATGATAATCCATGATGATTTAAAGAATAAAGAGCTACCAACCCTCATAGGCACCAACCCTTATGATAATTCGTATTTATACCATGATGATCCATGATGATGGTATATATCCTCATACTAACCCCCCTACAGAATAAAGACTCAGAGGAGTGTTTAGTGGTAGTGAGTATTTAATATTAGGGTGGGAAGCTTTCCCCCAATACTAAAGTTAAAACCGTAAATAAAAAGCTTAAAGTGTCTATCTCAGATTCGATTAAATTTCTTCTCATAATCTAATTAAAATACGGTCGAAAAAATGTATTTCGAAACTTCCCCTGATACGAAATCAAAAGCCTTAATCAAACAACATGTTTTTTATTTTAAAATCGATTAAATTCCTTTTTTAAATGCAATGAACATTGCCAAAAATGGATTTCGAAGGTTCCCTAATATCAAATCAACAACCTTAATTAAACATGTTTTTCTTCAAGTTCAATATTGGTCAAATTCCGTTTTTAAAATCTAATTGAAATATTGCCGAAAGTTGGATTTCGAAGGATCCCCTAATATTAACCTAAAAATAGAAAAGTAAAAACTAAAATGCTCGATTTTAAAGGATGGACCCGAATAAAAAACACCCGGGTATTGACTAGTTATTATTAGGGAAGACACCCTAAAATGGGACCTTAGTTTTTAAATTGTTTTTCAGAGGGGAGCAATTAAAAAACACATTGATGTGAAATTTTCCAAAAGTGAGAACGGACCCTAGTTTTTAATATTCGTGGTACGTTTAGTAAGGGAGAAGGGATTGTGTGGGGCTGGTACCTGATCTTTTTGGGAAGGCACCAAAAATCCACTGGTCTATCATCATTTGCACCATCAAGGTAGAAGCTTGGGAGGTATACCCGATTTTGAACTGCAATGTATAAGCCATAGGCTGGCTAGGTGGTTTAAAATGAGAATGGATACCATTGAAATACCACTTGTTGCTGGGTGGAATCAAGGGGGGACTGATACTATGCTTGATGTGGTAGTTCACAAGCGATGGCAAATGGAATTGCCAAACAAAAGATGGACCTAGAAAATTTGGTCTCATATGTTCCATGCATTTTTCCATCATATGTCAACATCTTGAGCATTTTATCCCAATGATTGCGGTTGGCCCAGCATGGGGCAAGGTTCCGCGCTCGGCGGTGCTGTCCGGACACTTGGCGTATCTTGGCGTCCTGGACTTAGAGGATGACCGGGTTTTTTTCCGGAGCTTTCCGAAAGAATGGGGGTACCCCCAGTCATCATCCATTTTAGATTGGGATTTTCCATAAACCATCAATTTATATCAATCTATTGGGTACCCCCATGGCTATGGAAACCCCTATCTTGATGAAAAGAATGGAGGTGGACGATAGGTGGACTCAGAATCAAAAAACAAAAAGAAACTACATGGATCTTAATGACGTTCTGGGTCAACACATGGCTGTGTATGTGTTTCACTTCGTACGGATCTTCATCGCAGAGGTGCTTGTTGATGGCCACTGGAAATCCGTGCCTAAAACCCGCAGATGTCTTCGCATATTTTGTTTTGGCGCGTGCCTTTGATTTTCAACACGTCTTTGTTAAAGTTTGCTAGCACCAACCGGAAGCGCAGAGAACGATCAAACCACACCCATTGCGAAGTGGACGTTCCCAATCTTTCGATCCTTACGAAGATGCAAAACGCCTTTCAGTGAACGGAAAACGAGAGAAGCAGGCGGCCGACCCCCGGCAGGAAGAAACGAATTCGAAAACAACCACAGGGATCCTGTGATCCAACATGCGCTGACCAAAGCACCTCAAACACTTTGTCGTGCGAACATTCTCATGCACAATCCTTTTCCCTGCAGTATAATTTAATATCATTTAATGCTTAAGTTATATAGGCCTTGCATGAACAAAAGGAAAAACACAACATATTCCTCATAGGCGCCATGAGAATGTTGAGGCAAGACCTTCTACAAGCGCCATCGCTGGCACCAGACGTAGCTCTTTGCACCTTGTTGGCAGAAGCTCGGCGCTGTGCGGAACAAGGCGCGGCCAGGCAGTCCGCACCAGAAAACGGTGGAGGCGAAACTGCAGAGTTGCGTTACAGGGCGGTTCTTTCGGTGAACAAATGCTGCGGCAGAACCACGAATCAACATACCCGCCCCATTTCCCACCTCCCAATCCGCAATTTAAACGTATGAAGGCTTGTGCGCGTTGTTTTTTCTTTCTGGCAAACATCCGTGGCTGAAATCGCCGAATTGTAGCCTTTGGCCCTTGGGGTGCTAGGTTTGGTTTGTTTCGTTCAAAAATCGGCTGTTCCAATTGATGTTACCCATTGCGCTTTGGACATAGAACGGAACAATTTAAATACGGCACCCAAAACTGAAATCAACTGCCATGCTTTGGAATTCGCGAGCGCTTAGCCAACAAAAAGTGATCACCATGATGACAATTTATTCGCACTTACCAGGTGCGAACCGGTAGTCTGCCAGATACCGCGTCGGATAAAGTGTCACATAGACTTGCAAAAATATGCCGGACACATCCGGACACACGAATAGCAGATCAAATGCCAACCCCATTGCCAGAAAGAAACGCGCATCAAATGTCAGATGAATTTTTCAAAAAAAGAAAGAAACCAAATGACAAGATCCATGTCAGACAGAATATCATGCGGGTATGAAATTACAGATCGTATAAACAAGTTTACCTAGAACATCAGCTGAACACAAGTTTATGTGCGTTTGGACATGTGTGCGTTTGCTCAATTGTGCTCGTTGGCTAAATGTGCGCGCGTTTCAAATAAAGGTGCAGGTTTCAAATTGGCTGGGATGGCTGGCCAAAACAAACTGGTACACATTTTGAAATGCAGCGCTCGGTTGCGCTAAATTGCATCGATTTCTGCAAATTTGCACGCATTGTCCGCGTTGCCCATGTAGGGAGTGGGGGAACTTGTGATATCTTGTGATTACCAATACAAATCCAGACATAGTAGATCGTTTTTCATATATGACAAACATAAAGTCTGACAGTCATGGTCATGCGTCAAGTCCTCATATGGAGGTTTCCTAAAATGGGGGTACCCCCAAATCATCCATTCTAATGGGATTTTCCCTTTTAAACCATCCACTCCATATATCCTGGTGAACATGAAAAGAACATCATGCAACTGGCAGATCTGGCATCCATCCGCGGAGAAAAATTGTATCAACAGGTATGAGATGGATCCATTACCCATAGGATCCATGTATGGTATACATGCTAACATTTGGGGTATATTGATGGTAAATGTTACCATATATGGCATACATACGGATCCTATGGGTTACAATCTAATATCATCCGTACATGCCTAACATGAACAGAACGATTTAAGCGCTAGGTCTTAGGTTGAACATAGACGTAGACAATGGTGTATCGAAATGGACCAACCGTTCTCAGTCAGGATCTTGGAATCAAGGTACTTTATGCCTGTTGCTGAACGTGTATGACATCCATACCCTCCATACCAACGCCTTCGACGTCCTCTGAGTGATTGTTCATTAATCATGTGGTGGTTTCCGAAAATAGGGGTACCTCCCAATCATCCAGTTTAGTAGAATTCTCCACTATAAACCATCCAACTATTGGGGTACCCCCCATTTTAGGAAACCTCCATATTTGTCACAATTGTCACCCTTCTTTCCTCTTTGAATCAGCTTCATGGACTTGTTGGCCAGAAACTTTTAAGGGTTGCCTAATCTGCCGCCAGTTTTTCCGCCAAACCTTTTGATTAGCACGTGCGGATTGACTCGCACTGTCACATATATGCTCTTCCTGCTCGCATTTGCTTTATTTTTCTCCACCTCCACCACGGAAGTTGAAGCTTTTCGGCATTCCATGGACACATGACCTTATTCATCACTATCACCATAAACACCACAATCACCGAATCATAATAAACACCATTACTATCTTGCATCTGACGTTGGCGATCGGATAGACCCATCCCCAAATATAAATTGGGATTCCATATGGTGCCTTCCCAGTTACATCCCCATAGGCTTGTCGTATGGAACCAGCTTGAATTATCTTACAATATGATGTACTGTAAAGATGTTTCACAGCCACACCCTTCATTGCTTGGAACATTATCAGCAGTCATCAACATTTATCAACATTTCTCGACATTTATCAACATTTATCAACACCAAACATCATTTAACAATATTAAAACATCCAATGTGATGAAAACAATCATAAACCCCGAAAAATCACCAGAAATAGGTGTCCTGTTTACCATTCCCCCATTACCATATGGGTGGTTTATTATTGTTTTAATCACACTATAGACAGCTTAGAACATCTAGAAACTCCGCTGTCAGGTTGATGGCGCGCTGAACGAGCTGAACGATCGCATCGGGCAGCTGGTGTGGCTCGATGAATGACCTTTGGGGAATTTTGGGGATTGAGACCTGAACTATTGTATAAAGTTGGATGTGTAGATGATTTTCATAGATGTGTTTCGAGATTTTAGAGTTTAGGTGATGAATTACATATATAAATCATATGTTATGTCTTGCAAAACAAGAAATCCCCCATCACCACACGAGCGACCTTAGGTCCTTCTCTGAGAAGGAGGAGACCTTTAGCGTGGCCTTGATCAATGGCTCCACACGGCAGGTGGGGATGACCCAAAATTTCAACAAAGAAAGATGGTGACATTTTTTGGTTTTTGGTGGTAAACATACTGTGGAAACATTTTTTTGGTGGTAAATATTTTTTTTGGGGGGAACTATACATATTCTTTTTTGGTGGTAAAAATATCTAAAAAATCTAAAGATAATAGTTGACCTCATTTTATGTAAATGTTAATAATAACTAGGTGAAAACATCATTGGTTATATTTGATGATCACCCAATCATGAAAGACCAGCAGTACAGCGGGGATCGAAGCTTCAACGGCTATTAATTGTCAAGAAAATTGAGGGGTATGGCACTGTGCCCCCTGATTTTGATGTGAATGTTGAAGTTGAAGTTGAACTAAAGCCAATACTAGTTCGTTATACGTACCATAAACCATAGTTAGTGGTTTGGAACATCCATTTTATGTTTCCCAACTATTGGGTTTTTAATCATCCCAACTGACAAACCCATATTTTTCAGAGGGGTGGCTCAACCACCAAGCAGATAAACCATAATTAGTAGATTCAGCCACTTCTGTGTTTGGCACTATCGAACTCCGGATGGTCAAGTCCATGAAATTCGTTGTGTTCGATGGCCCCCCCTTGGAGACATATCGTTCAGTGGCCAGAAGTGGCTGAATTCTATGGATTGTGGTGGAGATAACGAACTAGTATTCGTATGTATTCATAGGTTTTATGAAACAACAAAAATAACTGCGCGGGCCCATCCTGTATGAACCGCTAGTAATCAACCTTGGCTAGTTGGAAAATCACTATAAAGTGGAGGCTTCTAGCCTTCTAGCTGCTAGAAAAATCGAACTAAGTGCGGGAATTTCCAGCTACGGTTGATTACCGGAAAGTAAACCTCATGTTCATTAATGTTCCTCACAATTGCTAGGTTGTGGAAGTTATCCGTCCTCATTTTATCTCATTTTGAACTAGCCCAACATTTTGTTCACATGTTTTTCTGGTGAATAGCTGAATAGCATCAAATTGATGTTCCTTCAATTCACATGTTTTGCTGGTTAAATCTTGTGATTTTGGTTAGTTCAATCCATTTATCCTATAAAAAAAGTCGTCAGACCATGGATAGATCCCTTGTTTGGTAGAAACACCTTTGTTGGTTAACGTTCTATGTTTTTCTCGGTCGAATCAAGGGTTTGGGTAGGAAGAAAAGATGTGACATGTGTGTTGGGAAATGGGGTATATCGGTATATCCTCAACAAGGTCAATTCTTTCAATAGGGGAAAATTGTGGTTTCCTGAAATGGGGGTACCCCCAAATCATCCAATTTAGTGGGATTGTTCCTTATAAACCAACCATTTTGGGGTACCCCCCATTTAGGGAAACCTCCAAATCATGCTCATCAACTTGCGGGTATCATCAACTTGGGGGTATCATTGTATGTTCAGCCGAAGCCATATCTGGCTTCGCTGACTGGCACGTTTCATCACACTGTGAATCTCCCAATTTGGGTCCTTGATTTATTCGGTCACATTAGAACCCCTCAAGGCGACTCAATCCTTCATGATTTCACTAGGAAACGAATTATGCAAGAATACTACTTTAAAGTAGTCTAGAAATTATTGTATAGTAACCCCAAATAGAAAAACTGATTCTTTCCAATATCTTTCAGAAGATATTCGCCTCATAAGTTCCAATGGGACTGTGTGTCCCAAAAAAATGGTCCTTTTAAATGGTCCTGAACTCCGAGGGTACATAGAATTCTTGACAGATATATACAGATGATTTCGCTTTGAATGTGCTTATGATCTTTAAAGTCTGTATAGTAGATGAATTTAGATTCCTGTTTTTATCCGTTGTTTTGGACAGATGTTTTAAGCTATCGTGTCCTGCAGATGTCATCACCAGCAGGTGAAAGCTTCGCAGTTACGCTCGGCCAGCCATAGCTTCGATGTCTTGGTGGGACCAAGGTGCAAATCGATTTTCCATCGCATTTTTTTGTCAACATGGCGATGTTGATCAGTTGGATCTATAGGTGGGGAAACTGCAGCAAAACACCATAGTTGGTATTGTACCGCTTCAATTTTGTCAATGCGATATAGATCTACTATACATCCAAGCGTTGATATTCTATCCTGTCATTGATTTTCACCCGTATATTCCGAGTATGTTCCAGTGTTATAACTCATATTCTACCATTGATATATGGGTTTGTTTATACCCCTAATTCCAAGGGATTATATTCATCCGTCCCATTTAAAGGCCATTTGGAGGATACACCCCATTTACAGACAAACCAGTTGATCACATAAGATTTGGGATTTAAGCAACGAAACCTCAAAGACACATATAAAAACGTCAGTTGAAATTAAAATAGAGTGTTATAAAAGCTAGTTTTTGACTACAATTTTGCAATTTCTATTTTTTACGTGTAAGAGTCAACAAAGAGAAACAAAAAGCATACCCAAAACATATGTTTGCCTCAAAAAAATA